TCCTTTCAGCCTAATAGGTCCTGAGCCCCATCCTTTGTCTGCTGATTAACTGCTCTATTCATTGACCAGACCACTAATTGCATGCTCCTTATAGTTACCCTACATTACTGTAAGAATTAATGAGACACAATTACAGCTCCCAGAAATCTCAGGCCTAGCCAACTGCAAAGCACTCCAGCTGAATAAGAACTCCCCAAGAATAAAGAGAAAAATTCAGCCCATTGTTCACAGGAAGCAGAATGTTTTTTGTTAAAAAATTGTATTTATTTGAAGCTGTTTCATAATTAGGCCCTGGAGAAAAAAAAAAAAAAAGGAAGAATAGAGAAAGAACTTGGGAACTAGCATTCACTGAGAAATCACAGCGGATGCAAATAGACATGCACACAGTTCAGATATGAAGAGAAAAAACATAAGGATGGAGTGCATGAAAAATTAGTGCTGTGAATGCTACAAATATCTATAACCAATCAGCTGCTTAAACAGAGCATGTCCCACTGTATGGGAATTGCCACTAATGCAACCTTTTATTTGATAGCTTCAGTCTTGAGCAATTTAAAATAAGCATATGGCATGCTTTGCAATCATGTCTCTACTATGAGATGGAAGAAGAGGAATTTAATTTCCCACTCCCAGAATTTAATATGCATTAGAAGTCAGTGTCATTAGCCATGAAAGTCAAAATGAAGGACAGAAAATGAGTTTTTTGAAAATCAGCCATATTGAAAACTGCACTCACATTTAATCTGTGTAATCAACAGCCACAGCTATTCAGTCTTAGTGACTACAATCACTACCTATTAGCCTGTAAGTAGTTCAAAAGCTATTATTCTCACTTGAACAATTTTCCAATACACAAGAGACAGCATTAAGTTAATGAAGTTAATATGCAAAGTCAATATTCTGTGTTATGAAGTCATCTTATTCCACTGGTTCCTCTTCAACATATTTTCACCATATAAATTCCATTTAAATTACATGTATAGTTTGACAAAGCCACTGATACTCAAAATAGAGCTTGAAATGCAGCACTGTACTTTCTAGTCCTAGTAATCATTTTCCAGGGCACAATTTATAGCAGCCACTGAGACCCCAAACTACGCATGTCAGACTGGCACTGCTACATTCCAGAATCAACATCTTTGGACAGAGACAACATTTTTTGTGCGACTCTACAGGGATTCTCAATAATTGCACCTAACTGCGGTAATAGTTTAAATTCATGGAAAATGGATGTTCTTCTGATACTATCGCTCACTGATATCACAGCAGAACGCTTTCCTGCATGAAGCAGTTACCACCATGTGGTGCTGAATCCCAAGCAGGAAACAAGGCACAAATATGGATCAGAGACCTTTGTGTTCAGTGTATAATAAGTCCAATATCCCTGTCATAGAACAGCAATCATTAACTCGGGGATCTTTTGTTAAATGGCCCCTGTGGCTGGACTGGTAACAGCAGGGATCAAATTTGCAATCCTCGAGACTAGATTCATCTGTCAGGGAGGCTGCAAGCCTACAAATTCATGCATTTCCAAAGTAAGTCTCTAGGACTTGAAGTGAAAATACCAATTTCAATCAACCTTGGCTGATTAATCAACCTCAGTGCATGACCACAGAGCTTACATACACAGCTTTGGCTCTGGCAGTATTATTTGAAATGGGCTTTCCACATGTCTTGAAAAAACCTTTGAGGAAAAAGGAAACCTTTGTCTCAAATAAAACATCAGCTAGCTTCTTCATGCTGTTCCTGTTTCAAGCCCAAAAATAGAACAAGTCTGAATTCCTGCAGAGTATGATGTGAAATTATTTCTGCTAGTGCAAATGATGCATTCAGGTATCTGGTCCAGCCATCATTTCATATGTTATGAAATAACTTGAACTAATACAAAATATGTGTATGCTCAAGGCTAGATGTAATTTCTAGTTGGGCGTCTCTCTCTCCCATAAAAGAAAAGGGAGTCCTTCCTGCAGACAAACACTAAGACCCCACTTTTTAGGTCATCAATTCCAAGTAGGGTAGAATTTCTAGATGAAAGATAATTAGAGGCATACAGGAATTGCTTCGTAAGAGACAAGGGAAGGTTTCAAGTCATAACTTGAGTTCACTCCCACCATTTCTACTCTCCTGTTCCACTACCGATTTCTTCAGAACTACTTCTGCTTTATTGTGCTGCATGTAGCACCAGCAAAGGACAATCCTGATCCACCAAGTGTTTCCATGTGTTTATTCTTCCTGGAACTGATTCACCCAAGGAAGTGTGTAGTACTCCACATCCTTTAGTTTGTGTGTTGCACATCACAAGCTTCACTGCTAGGAAGTTTCCTTCCCTCCTTTTCATTGCTATATCTACATCCAGCCTCCCTTCTTCTTGCAAGTAGTTCAGTTAGTTAAACAATGGTCCTCTCTGTACTGTTTCCTAAGTGTGGCCCCAAAACTATCTTCAAGACTAGAAGTACCAACAGGACAGGTGCTAAACATGAAAATTCATGCTTTTTCAGGCATTATTCATGCAACTTGCAGCTGTAAGACAATTCTGTAGACAGAAGATGAATAGGAGACAGTGACACATACTATTCTTAGAGTTGCTCTGGAGGTCATTCTTTGGAGTGACATAAGCATAAGCTATGATATATCATCTCTATGAGCAGTGATATGAGTTGCATATGAGTCCCTACAGGATGAGGCTTAAAGCTGATTTACACTAGAAAGGTTAATATAGAAATTACACTAACAAGACTCCTCTTCCCAAGCAACTTCCACCTATCCCTCAAGAGAAGTAAAATGTACAGGTAAAAGAACTTCTTATGCAGCTTCTGCACTAGGGTTTTTGCTGGCATAGCTATGTCAGCAAAAAATTCATATCCCTCCCTGACAGGCTTCCTTGATAACACTTTCAAGTGCAAACCAGGTGTCAGTATTTCTGTTATGACAGAAAAAGAGTTCTACACTAGTCATGAGCTGAATACTTGGCCTTTTGTGACCTGGAAAAGTCCTTGCTTCCAAGGAGGTCAAATCCCATGATCATGTTTTCTACCAGCATAATCTCTCATGAGCATTGATTAATACAGTACTTATATGGTACTGTATTAACACATGTAGAGTAGCAGAAAATATATCAGTCAACATGCCACAAAAAATCCAGTGAATGTGAGGCACTAACAGTTCTACACAAAAAATTGCCGTGATTTTTAAATTAGACTAAAAATAACTTTAAATCTAATAATGTCTAGACATTTCAGCTGGTTTTACTTGGCACTCAGAAAGATTTAGATGATTCTAAGAAGAGATTATCTATAGATTGAGTTCCCAGAGGCAGCCAAACAGGAAACAAGATGACCAACAAACATCTTTCATTTTAATCAGCATTGTTAGGTAGAAAGTTAAAAACACCAGTTGAGAGCAGGTAGATAGCTTTTAAATAAAGCTAGGCTTTTAAATAATTAAATACATAGATCTAGCACATGGCATTAGGCAACTACCCCACAGCTGAAGACTAGAAGAAGCCATGCTGTCACAGGCAGCGCTGCAGAGTGTTCCTCAAGGATCACCAACATTGTATCTGTTCCTAACCTAATTTACCATATTCTCATCTTCTCCAGTTCAGTTGCTCCCTGACCTTATGAGATTGTTTATGGAATGTGTTTAGGCCTTGCACTGATGGGGCAACAAAAGGCCCTTTCAAAGCACCCCTCACTGAGGTGGAGTGCAAGGACCATGGTCTACCTGCGGTGTTCCTCAGTACAAACTAAGACGTTTGGTGATAAAAATCAGCATGAATAAAACAAAGTGTCTCTAACTACTTACACATGCAACACTCGTGGCCACCGATTAGCCAAGCAGCGTGAATCTCTGAGCCACAAGAAACAGTCAATCACATTAATTTCTTTAATTAGTTAACTAATTAATGTTCCTTTATTAAATATATAGAAAGAAAACATTCTTCACAAGCAAAAAGCAATCCGTGATATCTAAGCACTTAAATCACTACTCAAACTGTATCCTACTCCCAAAACTAAGTTAAAAGTCTAGCATGGGAAGAAAGCATTACATTGATTTATTCCCTGATTTACTATTGCTAGCTTCAGAAGAGCAAACAGCAGAGTAATTTCTGTGACAAAAGGATTAGACTGACATAAGGTTTTGCATTATTTAACTACCTGTGGCACATACCCCTCACCCTACACTTTTTGTCAGTCAAAAGAAGTAGAATTTGGCTAATATGCAACTTGCATATTGGGCTTACATTGGTCAAAAAACAGGTTGAATGGACAAAATAGTAGATTTTGAGCCCTGATGATTCCTTTTATAGCATCTTTACAAGGTAGCTAGCTCTGTTAATACCAACAGCCTTATGTTTCATACATTCCATTGTAAGAGGGAAGCTAGTTACTGGAAATTAGGTTTGCTGGTGCCTTTATTACGTGCAGAAAGTCTAAGAGGGGAGAGAGATGAAAAGAAACAGATAAATAAATACAGGATAAGACTAGGAAGAAACATCTCCTAAAATAGAAGCATAATTAAGCATCTAAATTGCCAATTAACAGTAAATAGCCAATAAGAAACATGTATGGAAGAATGCAGAGATGTGTGGGGAATTAAGAGGCTACATCGCAACTAAGCTTTATATGCGGGGAATTCCAAGGTATTTAGGCTCCTAAATCCTACTTAGGAACATAAAGTTCCACTCAGTTCTACAGGAAATTAGCCACCTTCCCATCTTTTAGGATTCAGGTTCAAGGATTGCTACCATGACACATCAGTGTACATGCCTCTCATGCGCCTGTCTCACTGTATTAGGCAACCAGAAGAACATTGCGAAGAAACTCTTGATGCACCAGTGACTCAGAACAAAACTCTCACTCTACCATAAATACATTTAATGCCTCACACATAGGACTGTTTAATGAGACTCAGTAAAAGCTTTAGAAGAGCAGTTGCACAGTGGAAACGCAGAGTATGTGGGAAGGGAAGCTGTAGGCAATTGCTTATTCTGAACTTACCTACAGGTTCAGAGATTTCTTCTGTAAAGCTGCCAGCCTTTCTTCACACACAGTTATCATGTACCATTTGTATTACTGTAGAACCTACTAGCTCAGGTTATAGATCAGTCCTACACAGATGCAAAGAAAAAAAGAATATGATTTCACATCTGATGAAAGTCATGCAACCCAAATATTAGCCATAAAAATTTTTTTAAAATTTTTTTGGTTTAGAATAAAGATAGTTACTATCAGCCATAGTAGAATTATCATGAAAACATTCTTCATATTACATTTGAACAGGCTTAGAAAGGAGAAATATGCACTGAACCACAAGGAGAAATACAGATTATTACAGTATTATGTACAGTCTAGATAGGCAGGAGAAACACCTTCTTTGCATGTAGTGAGGGGTCTTTTAGACAGCTAGATAAAATGTATTCCATGTAAACGACTTACAAAAACTGAACACATGGGAACCACTCCAGTAACTACAGTCTTGGAAAGCTTTCTATTATAAACATGAGAATATGTTTGGATATCATTTATAACACACATTCTCCAGCAATAATTTACCCTTCCACTCAAAAACCTTGTATAAGCGTATTTCACTGTTACTATGGACAAAAATCAAAACAACTTTAGAGAGAGCAACAAAGGAAATTTGCATCTTTCAGGCAACCTGACACTGATATCTTCCTAGGATAAAATATATTTTAATAAAGATATTGTCAGCAATACATGTGTTCATGCTTCTTTTTTCCCTTCACACTCAGATTTTATTTCATTTATGTCATTATCTACCTTGCAAGTTTAAGAAATGCATCATTTATTCATGACTTCTCTTTCAGAACCCCTCAGTTACACAGATGACCGGGTTAAAGAAAAATCAAATGGTTTGTCTGAGAACAGTTAGTGTCAAAATAAACTGTGTGTGTTGTACTTCTGGTACCTGAAGTCATAATAAAAAGAGTCAACCCAAAAAACAGTGCTTGTTTTACCTTTTTTTCAGAATAAACTCTCATAATTAAACTTTTCACTTTTCCAAGTAGCTGACTGTGTATTCCTGCACAGCAGGAGGTTTTCTCCACAGACATATTGACTTGGACAATAAACAAAGCAAAAATCCCTGACTGGAGTTTACAGCTAAATTTAACCATGCATATTGTTAATAAAATTTGCATATATGTCTTTCAACATTAAGAAAAAATAAAAGTTGAAATTCAATGAATTTGGGCACTGTGCTGCTTTGCAAGAAAAAAAATGAGATTTAAGCTGTAATTTCCATATTTATTGAGGCTGTATGTCAAAGGAAATCTGTGCAAAAAAATTCTGGTGCTGCCTTGATGAGATTTGAAAGATGACAGCGTATTAATAGTAAAGGAGCTTCTCCTTAGCAAAGATGGCTTAAATAGTACCTATAAAACACTGATGAAGGGCCACCCAATTCTAGAAACCATTTCTAGCATCTCTTATCTTTCTATCTTTAAACGACAAAATAAGTAAAAGCAGCTAACATGTTTTGAAGAAATATCACCCACCGTTTCCCCTCATTGTCAACTTTCCCCATGAAACATTAACAGATCAGTTCAGCCTTGGCTTCTTACAATTAAAGGTGGTAGAAACTTTCATTCATTGATTTTTTGTCATAACACTGCATCAGCACTAAACCTCCAAAGACAAGAGCCATCAGTAGCAAACATTCACCTTCTATTTCTCATTTTTGTGTCTCTTTTCACAGCATCCTGGACACTTGGATGTCTTAGGAATGTGATTTAAAGGAATTAGGGTTTATAGTTCCTTTAAAACTAAGTTACTTTACCTGGGTCTGCCTATCCACAAAAAGTAGACAATGGGATGCAGTCCTGCAAGCATAAAATCTTTTAGATGAGCACATACACTCGCACACTAAAGAGAGAATGTCATACTCCTTTGAGGTACTTCTCCAGCATAAAAGTCGGATATATTCCAGGGATTATGCTGCTGTTTGGGTGGTATGGGGTTTTATTGTTGTTATTATTATTATTATTGTTATTGTTTTAGGGGTTTTTTTAACTGAAGCAGGGAATTTTTATCAGTGAAGCACTCATTAAATTATGAAAATGTTCACCCTACCACAGTGCACTTTATGGCTTTCAGTACTTGCACTTGCTCTGGGCAGGATTTCAAGGGTGCCTGTAACTTATGGTTAAATCTTTAGAGTTTGGCTACTCCTCAACTGGAGGACAGGGAAGGAATAAATGCCATCTGGGAAAAGTGAAGAACTGGGTCATCACTTTAAGACATTACCTACAGTTGACTGTGCAGATAAGTGGCCCAGTCATTCCTTTCTCAAGTTTCAGGTGAAACAAACACAACCATTAACACTGAAACTACGAGATTTGTAACACCCCAGTGAGACGAACAGATCAGCTCACACCTCTCAAAGCACTTCTAGCACACACAGTAGGCCTGGGCGGGAGATCTCTGAATCATGCTCCCGAATTCTTCCTGCAAATATAGCTGCAACTTTTTTCTTTTCTAATAAACAAGCCATGCTGTGAGAGAAGTGCACTACAACTAGCACTTCTAGCATTCAGGCTGTGGCTATAAACAAATAAGGTCTCACTGAAATTCTGTAAAACAGAATGGTACCCTACTGAGTACCCTCGTGTGAGATTCAGCTGTCGAAACGTTACATCAGATTTTTTTTTGAGAATGTTTCATTCAGTTATTGTGCAACAGAGGTAGCTGAGGAAGGGGAGGAGTAATTTTATTCTGCAAAAGTGCAAAGAAAACTAGGTAAATAACTGCAGTGACACAGAGGAAGTTACCAATGTCTTATCTGCATTCTGGTCCAATCATAGGAAACCAAAAATACACAAGAATATAAGACTTTCAGTAGGGTAACCACAAGAAGCTGAAAGCTCACTCGGATGTGTTCATGACATTGAAGTCAGTGGAAGTCAAGGACCATAATTCTCCAAATACAGATTACTGAGCAGGAAACCAAGCCAGCACTTAAACATTCCAGAATCAGGCACTGAAATTAATGAGTTAAAGATTAATTCACTCACAGACTGTGTGTACATGGTCACCTCATGGGGCCATCACCAGGAAGACAAGAGATCTTCTTAGAAGAACTGGCTCTACCAGAGGCTAATTAACAGATATGCTGACTGTAAATAAAAGCAGGAGGTGGTAAACAGAAAAGAATAGGAAGTTTGATGGGGCTCCCAACGGATGCTGTGTGTCAATAAACGTCAGCTGAAACTTAGATGCTGCTTTTGTGCTCTCTTAAGGAAATCATTATAATCACATTATTCTGTAACACAGCCTAGCCTCATCTCCATGAATTGTACTAGAGAAGGTATTTTTGATCAACTCAACATTTGTTAATTACAAAACCAAGCATATTGAAGCTGTTTTGTTTTACATACAGAATGAAGCACTTATTTAAAAGTGAAAATTATTATATCCAGATTTCCTACCCATAAAACTAACAACTATTTCTTATATCCCAAACCAAACTAGTGACTCTTGTAAAAATACAGTTTATTTCAAAAATGCCAGTGAGACAGCACAAGCAGCTGTACAAAACAGACAAGAGACTGATATACACAGTTACAATTAGGTTTTTTAAACACAGAAACACTTTTCCAGTTTATCCTCATCATTTCCTAAACCTGTAGCAGATATATGCCTTAACTCTGGGTTTTGGCACGAGATTCTTTATGTGTATTTTATCATAGCATTTTCCTTCACTGACTCACAAATTTTCTGCCAATAAAGGACTACTTGGAAGGAAAACAGTTTTGATAGCACCAAATACTGAAAAGATGATGATTCATTGTCCATTTGCTGTCCTACACCCCCAAAAGTTAACTCCCACTGCAAGCTGGATTTTGTTTGTTGTTTCCTAATCCCCTCTCCCATTTAAAGACTTGATTTGACAAACCTTTTCTCAAGCAAGCAGACACTTTAAAGTAAGCAGGATCACTGACAGGAGGATAGACTATTTTGCATGAAAAAGTTTTGCAGGATGTAATCTTCTCTTTCCCTTGAAGTTAAAGTAATTACTATCACTACCAAATGAAAGAAATTTAATAGTGGCAGCACAATTACTTGTGAACATATGTTTATTTTGCACCCAATTACTCCCCTCAGTTCTTCCAGTTTCAAGAGTGGACAGATTTAGCAACTCTATTTGCTTCTCATTTCTTCAAATTATCATAAAAATTCTGATTAAGGAATACAAATGATGTGAGAGAGTTGCACTGTTCTGCTATTCTTGATATACTTTAGAGACAGGATTACAATATCTCCTTTCACTTCACAAAATTTCTAAACTAATTTTAAAAGAATTTATATATTTTTACTGCATTTTTAGGAAAACATGATTTTTTTTTTGCTGATTTTTCCAACTCATGAATTCTAATGTACTAAAATTTCTTCCTTGAACAATGATTATTTGAAATAACACTAATTGAATGTGTAGCACTACACTTGCAAAAGTACTTAGATTCCACACACGAGCAGCTGTAAAGCGGTACCATAGGAGTTCACTCTTATGCTTCAATATTGTGCTTTCCTTTCTTCATTGTATTTCCTGCCACATTTTGGGTTCTAGTATGATGAATCTCTTTCTCAACAATACTCAAACTACTTCTTCCTTTCAAATATTGTCAGGCTATTATATTTTTATGCAAATAGTGATTTTAAATAATTCTGAGATAATGAAAGGAAGCTTTTATTAAAAGAAGAAATTTCTAGTACTGGCAATGTACTATAATAAAATTCTGCTGACAGAAATCTGAATAAAAGGTGTCTATCATGTCAGGAAAAGAAATAAAAGAGACACCATATAGTTTGGTCGATATTACTCTCAAGTAAACTTAAGCATACAGGAGTATAACTAAATATATATACTTTCAGGAAATCATAAAAAATCTGAAGAGTTTATTAAAAATATAGAAAAAAAAATAGCTTCTGTCTTACAAAACTAAGCATATGCTCATTTACAGGCTTCAACATTAATGTCCGTGAAGATTAAAAAAGTA